CAAACACTCCCACAAAGTGCGCGACATGTGCAACTTAAGATTGTTTCGACTGCTTCCTGTGATGCTAGAGCAACGAGTTGCGGGTCAATCAGCGTCTTATGACCTTTGTTATGCATCCCGTCCCAAAAGTTGGAAAATCGGACTAAAAAGACCCAGCACTGCAGGGTCAGTTTCAGAGGACTACAACTTTGTGAAACCGACAAACACAGAAACTTTTGACCCGAAAATTTATTAAGGAGGACGCTGTGCCCAAGGAAGTTAAAAAAAAAATCTTTAACGATTTCAATGAAGCTCGCCAAGTTTTTTCTATATTTTGTGCCGATTGCAAATATGCCTATTATTTGCCTAGTACAACATTTAGTGTTTATTAAATTACGGGTACCATTTTGGAAGCCACAGTTTGCCTACAAGAGTTACAAAATAAATAAGCATACCAGAATTCACCGGAATCAGTGTGGAGTGCAAGAAAACAATACTTTGCATGTTCCAATCCCATCTGATCAACAGTTGTGGTACGCTGAATATTTTTCACTGAAATACCAGCTTGACATGGACTCATTTGCGATCGTTCAACCTACCATACTTTTGTTCAGGTGGCTGTAGAACATCATTTTCGTTTTCTTGTGTTAGACTCTCATAACGAATAGGTCGTATTAAAATGCTTGTTTACTGTGTAACCCTCCGTTTAGAAATCGATAGCTACAAAAAATCATATAAAATGTTTAATATTTAAAAACTAATTTTACATAAAAATATTTGCATATTTGAAATCTGCCCACAAATATAAATTTGTCTCAGTAGACAAAGAAATGAAACAAAACTTCAGGGCCTACATCCACTTCGAAGACAGCTCGAATATCTCGCATCCTACGGCCAGTTCAGACTGCATCAAAATTTTTGCTGGATTTCAGTGGCCTAGCTGAAGCAAGGCTTCTTGCTTTGTGGCTGACAAGTTGAATTTCACAGGTCAATTTCGAGCAACCCGCTCCACGACTAAGCGCTCCACTTTGATTTACCTCGTCGAGCCGCATTTCAGACACGGTGCTATCAATTCAGGGGCACCTCTGCTGTTTTATACCCCTGTCACACGGGCACCCGCGAAGACCGTGCACCCGCGAAGAACTCTCTCGTCCTTACGACAACGAAGATGCGGTCCGTGTCACACGGCCACCCTCACCCAAACGAAGGTAAACGGAGCGTTTCGCAAAGGACGTTCAACGATCATCCTTCGCAGCGAAACGAGGTACTCTCGTCCCCAGCAGTCTAGAGGTCAGAGAAAAATTTGGAGCGCTAAGTGGCCGCAGTGAAAAAATAATACATTTTTGGCAATCTTAAACGTTCTTTCGTTGTAGTACTCATTCACAACGCGTGTTTGTTTACATATATTTACGCCCGCCAGAGTTCATTTACTCTCAACACCGATGCTCTACACTCCGTGCCTCACACGTGGTGCCTCGCGAGTCGGGCCGGCCGGCGCCATTGAAAAATATTTCGTCCATGCGTGTGGTTGGGGTCGTCGCTGTGTCACTCATGGCTGAAGAACACAAAATGTGCGCTCACGAGGCAAGGAAGCACAAGAACTTTCGTACACAAACATGAACACAGGCAACAAAACAACTAAGAGCACAATGTGGCCAGCGTTACTAGCAGCATCGCTACATTTAGCGAATACGTTTTTATTTGAAAATATTTTTATGGTTTGTTAGCCTCTTACCTCCTTAATAGTGTTTTTTGTAAAAACCCCAGAATGAGTATTCACAAAAAAATCAATTGAGATGAAATTAGAATACTTTTCCAAAAATCAAACAGCGCCAGCTGAGCCCCCTTGCGCCAACTGTTACAACCTTTTCATTGTCGCGTGACATTGCCACAACTCCTCCTCCGTCGAACCACCTAGGGGAGATTTACGTTGACGGTGTTCAACGGAGTTTAGTGGTGGCCGTGTGACAGGGGTATTACACGCTTTTCTTAAGCATTCTGAACGTAACCAACCGGATGTGTGCGACGATTTTGGCTGTGCTCCCTGACGCGCAGTTAATTTATCGCTGGTCTATCTGGTTTGGGCCACTCTGCAGCGGACTTTGTTACCTCGAAGATTCAGCACACCACTAGAGATCTACCGCTGGAGTTCACCATATATGAACTCGTGGAAGCAGCCAAGGCCTTAGTGCTTCATCCACGAAACATTCCAATGCCCAAAAATAGTTTAAAACATTTTTTCCCCGTGTTCCACATCAAAGCTCCCTGAATTCTCCACCTGTAGCTATGTGCACATGTACTTCCTTAGTTGGTGTTGGGCTCCTCTGTTATCAAAAACGCTTTATACAGCCAGTGATACAGCAAGCAGCGAGAGTCCAATTCATAGGGCTTTTGAAAACTGGGTTGCTTATCTGCCCGGATTTAAACCTTCATGTAAAAAAAAAAACAAATACAATACAGTAAATGCAAGATGCCTCTCACGAGAACTGGCGACGGGCAGTAGACGTCAGCGCTGTCACCCCGGGTAAACATTCTTCGAAAGATGGCAGGAACAAACTGGGGGAGCCACCAAACATCAATGATAAACGCGGCAGTAATTGTCAATCATGTGCCTCTGATCTCTCCGAGTGAGTCACAGTACGAACGGCTAAAAAAACTTCATTGTAAAGGCCTCAGCGCGGCTTTGCGAGTGCCTAAGCTTGCAGCGAGCATAAAGGTGCTTCATGAAGCTCGCCTTCCGCCGTTACGTCTTCTCGCCTCTCAACGACTGCCGACACAGCTTTGCCGACTTGGCAAATCGAGCCCAGGACGAGCACTATTCAGTCGCCTTCGGCGACGCACGTGACTCACGTAATCGCGAGCTTTCGTGGCCCTCAACACCCCTCGCCATCTTGGCATCGATTTCCCCAAACAAAGACAACTTCGACAAGACCCACCTTGGTCACACGAGGATGTCGACTGTTAGGCGACTATACCACGGATGCACAGCAAGCATTCCACACGCACAGCAGAAGTACATTCTTTTGTACTTGAATATATTGAAGTGTCCTGGGCAGCGCGACTCGAGTGCGTTTTTCATCGACAGCATGTGAAAAAGTGGCAGTTCAGGCAGCCCTGAAGAAATTGAAGCTTTGTAGGCCGCAACAAGTCGTGCTGTTTTCGGACAGCAAGCCCACTTTGCAGCGGCTAACACATGGATTGGTTTTGGATCAATGCACTCAAAGATCACTGCAAATCCTTAAAGACCAGCATGGCATTGGTATAAACATTAAGTTTATGGATTCCATCACATGTGGGTATAGCGGGTAATGAGGCGGCTGAGACTTGCCCAAAGTGTTCTGGAGCTTACACCAACAAAGAAGGCTCCCAAAGACAATCAGCATATCTTAAGAGAAGCTGTCAATAAGCATTTTCACTCGTTATGGCTGACGCCTCACCAGTTATGTGTGACAAAAGGGCTATCAAGAGAAGAGGCCTGCTTGCTTCATCGCATCCGAACGGGATCAGCGCGTGCACCAGCATGGCTCCACCTGATCAGACTCTCCGCGACACCCTTGTACCCAAAGTGCAAGGAAAACGGTGACATACAACACTATTTGCTTAAGTGTCATGAACTTAAGAAGGAACGGCAAGGTTTATTTGAGGAACTGCAACAGTTAGGCTCGCCATGTGACAGCGTCACTGATATTGTGTTTCCGCATAGTCACTCGATTTTCAAGAAACAGGTGTCGCGACTTCTCTTAAAATTCTTGAATGCTATAGATCTCGCATGTGACTGGTGATAAGGGACAATTATGTTTGAGGTATAGTGCAGCGACATGGAGTACTGGCACAACACTGCATGTGCAATAGCACAGAGGCCGCAGTCTTATGCAAGCTTATGTCGCGCTATGTACAATTTTTATTTTAAGAGCCTGCTCGTGGTTCGTTAAAAAACAAACAAAGGACATTAGCTACACTTAGCAAGGAGGGAACCGGGCGGGAAATTGCCGGCAAATTATGCAAGGCTCGATCCACTGACTAAAAAAGAAAAGGTCTCAAAGGCGCTGTTAGACAGGATGCAAACTCTTCACAGTGAAGTTTGATTGTTCATGTTTAGCAGCCTCAACTTCTGGACTAAACTGTCTCAGAAGTTCTAGGGCCCCTAGCCAGTAGGAAGGGGGAGAAAGCCGTCCAAATGCTTTCAGCACGTCGCCGTCAACGTGAGGAGTTTATCATGTCGTCGTCGTGCGCTCGATGGCCTGCAAGTTCCAAACTGTGATTTATGTTGATTGATATGTGGGGTTTAATGCCCCCAAAACCACCATATGTATATGACAGACACCGTAGTAGAGGGCTCCGGAAATTTCAACCACCTGGGGTTTTAACATGCACCCAAATCTGAGCACACGGGCCTACAACATTTCCGCCTCCATCGGAAATGCAGCTGTCGCAGCCGGGATTCGATCCCACGACCTGCGGGTCAGCAGCAGAGTAGAGTACCTTAGCCACTACACCATCACAGCGGGGCAAACTGTGATTTATGTAATGGTGCTTCGCCAGCAATGTATTTGACACTACTACATGAACCACTATCAAATTCTTGGTGCGTTAGGTTTAGCAGGTGTGATTAAATAAACAAACAGCTTATGTTGCCAATAACGACAAAGCCTATCTGATGCTTTGTCCCGATAGTGAGATGACACAATGTGATAGCTCATTACACCATTCATTTGTTGCTTTGAGCGCTTTAGGCTAGCGTCAAGGGCAAGTTCAGTTCAAAGAGGGCGGTCGCGTCTGAAAGGGCGCTGCCATGCCGATTTTTAACTGCAGTTACTGGGGGTTACTGATAAAATTATTACTTTATAGAAATGCAATGAAAAATAAACATGTTTTCCTCCCCACACATATGGCTTGTTTACACCCAGTAGCTTTGGCAGTGCTGAACAGCAGTGGTGAGACAGAGTATAGCGGGTCTTGAGGTGGTGAGTGTGCTTTGTTGTAACACTGCAAGGCCGGAACCTTGGGAAACACAATTCACGTACTTACCTACAAATGTTTAATGAACTGTTTTACACGTCATGAGCAGCAACGCTGGTTTCCTTTATATACAACACACGAACACACTAATGAACACAATGCAACGAAAATGACACTCACTCGGCATCTTGTGCTGATCAGAGTTACAAATGGTATTGAATAGTATTTACAGCTTGCAATCTTGCATACAGATAATGATCGTTCCAAAAGGATTTCTTGATGAACTGCTATGAGATTTTGCCCAGAGCAAAAAGAATGAACATGAATGTTTCAATAAATTACATGATGAAAGCAATAAAAAAAAGAGGATACAATCTACGAACTCCGGGTTACGTGCTACAATGCACTACTGAAAAAATTCAAGAACTGCAAGCTTTTCTTTGTAAAATGAATGGACACTACTTCCCACAACACAAAATCAACTGTAAACACTCAAATGTCAACAAGAAAGCTATCTAACTGAAACTACATGAACACAATACGAGCACTTTTTCACAGAACTGAAAGAACTCGTAGTAAAACAGCTTAGCAGCAACTCCTGCTTGGAGTATACAAAGTTCTGAAATAAATGAAGATTGCGTGTTATGACAAGGTTAATGTGTTAAAAAAATTGATACAAAGGAAGTGTAGCATCGACTTGATGCCAGAGGTTTTAAACGACACCAACGAATCTGTAACGACAAAGGCGCACTTGAGGTATTTTTGTCAGTTGGAAGCGAAAATAAGACTTCCAGCTACACTCAAGGTGATGAGAAGATCAAACTTGGTAATGCAGTGATGACAGCCCCTGCAGTTAAAAAAAAAAAAAATGTCCCGCACAAAGATAAAGATTGCTTCCGCTATTGCATAAAATTGAATGCTATCTTTTAAAGGTAACCTGTATTTGGCAGGCTGACACAAGTGCTGAAAATCTATGCCCAAGGTTTAAAAACAAGTTCACAGCAGTTTACAGAGTACTATGCTTCTTTCATGTGATGCAGGCACATCCTAATCAACACCAGCGAAACAGTGACGAAGTAATGTTGCTGTTTTCGGGTTTACATGGCTAGCCAGCCAGGAAGTGGTGGTACTGCTTGCCTCAACCCTGCAGTTCAAATGGAGATCTATATGAAATAAAAATAACCCACGACTTAATGCACAAGAAACTAATTCGAGATGGGGAGAGACTTGGTAATGTTGCTGTTTTGGGGTTTACATGGCTAGCCAGCCAGAAAGTGGTGGTACTGCTTGCCTCAACCCTGCAGTTCAAATGGAGATCTATGTGAAATGAAAATAGCCCACGGCTTAATGCACAAGAAACTAATAGGAGATGGGGAGAGACTTCTTATGAGGAGATGACTTGTATGAGCTTGCTTTCCTTGAGGAGAACAGGGAGGCGGCTTTGTGCTACGAAGCGGCGGCAGGCCGCATCGGTTACTTGAGGACAGTCTCTGAGATCCAAGTGGCGCAGCCCTACGCAACGCCGCAGCGCCTCGAGGCCCGTGTCCGACACGTTCGCACACCGCGAAACATCGAGCGCCGTGAGTCGCGACGCCTTAGCGGCCCCGAGCACCGCTATGCCCATGTCCGTGACACCCCGGCAGTTGGACAAGTCCAGACGGCTTAAGTTGGGCAACTGGTGCCCCAAGAGGCGCACTGCCACATCCGAGATATCACAGCCCGCGAGACGGACCTCCACCAGAAGCCGAGGCTTGGAACGAGCGTCAGGTGCCACCAAATCTCGTACTGCCTGGTCTCCGAGACCCTCGACCCAGCTGAGGTCAAGGCAGCGAAGGCGGGGGCAGACTCCAGAGCGCAGTGCCGCTACAACGGCGGCCGCCGAGCACCCGCTCAGTCCCAGCTCGCGTAAGTGCGGCAGGCGTGGAAGGAGCCAGCTGAGCTGCTTTGCCGACACGTTGGTCCAAGCCAGGTCCAGGCAGTAGGGCTGCCTCCTCACAATGCCCGCGAGGGCAAGCGCCGTCACACGGCGCCGTGACAGATCCACCCGGCGCCACATGCCAGGCTCCACACACCACCGGTTCCATGCTTTGCACACCAGCTGGCACTGTGACAAATCCTGGGGACCGAGGTAACGCATGACCGGCACCATCACTTCACGCATCAGCACGTAGCATGTGGTGCCGTCGCCTTGCAGTGCCTTCTCTACCGGCTGTTTGGCCTTCTCTACGTCTTCGCGGAGTGGTGCAGGTCGTACTAGGTGCATGGGCTTGCGCAGGTTGCCACGGTCTCGCAGTGTCATCTTGAACTTGAACTCGGGTGGTTGTCCGCAGCTTTTGCTCGTAACGTGGATATCCGGTGCAGTGGCCCCATTTGTGGTAGCACTCGAAGAGTTCCTGTTGTCATGGTTGTCAGCACTTTGGGCATTGGCTGCGATGGCCGCCAATCCGTTCTTGACCTCGGGCTCTTCGCTGGGGATGGCCGACACGGCGGGAACCGCAGGAATGGCCGCAGCCTCGGCGAACTCTGGCTCTGAACCCTTGTGTAAGCTGCGCATAGACTTTACCACCTGGTCATGGGAGCTAGTCGCCGAGACCTTGTCCCCCTGGACCATGGTCAGCCGGGAACAAGATCGGACATAGTCATCCTTGCGGGACCTGCTTAATGCCGCCTCCGAGTTCTCGTACATTTCCTGAAAGTGACCAGTGTGAGCACATTCAGAGCTCCAAAAAATAATTCAGGAAAGAGCAATTATATAACTAAATAACAAGTATTTCGACACTATGCACTTAAAATACCTTTAACGTGGCCGTGATAATGAAATAAAGAAGTTCAATGAAAGTTATCAATGTTACAGCATTTTATGCTGCTTCGTATACACTGTTTCACAATTACTACAGGAGGACATACTGTATTCACTCACATAATGAGCCCCCCCCCACTTCGCTCTTTGAAGAAAAAAAAGTTTTTAACGTATCTGAGCATTTTATTTCGATGTTAAAGCCAGTGCCATTGACCATCGAAACAACCTTAAATCATATCATAAAACAACAATGTAATAAAAAGTCATAACATAGTTTACCAACTATACTAAACAAATGTGAGCAACGCGGGCATGGACGTCGTCTATCGAAATTTAAAAGTCTTGCCTTTTGCGGCATAGCGCCATCTGTCGAATGCAGAAGAAACCTTCAGCTTATAGCACCATGCAAGCAGAGCGGCGTGAAAACAAAGAAAAAAGAAAGCACAACCGCTATCACGGCACCATGCACCTGCAACGCGCGTGTGACGCCATCCGACACTGCCCTTTTGTTGACGATCGACTAGCACTCTAGCAACATGGCCAGTTTTGAACTTAAAGTTGGTCGAGCATGCGCTAGAGCATGAGAACCGAGTGGCTGGACGACACTTTTAGCGTCAATCCGTGCACATTGGCCTTTGAACGCGCCATCCGCAGTTGCGCCTCGCGTGCCGGGACACGTTGGGCACCCGCCGCATGCAAGCGGGGGGGCGAAGTCGCACACTTTTTGCAAAAAAGACATCGCGCATTTCACGGGCCAGAGCAAGGACAGCTTGCCTTAGTGGAGAGCGAAGTTCTCGAATAGAGGCTCCGTAGTTCTGCACTGAATTGAAAGCCAGCACTGATTGGACAGAGAGCTTTTAATTACCCTCACACGAAATTTTTGCTCTTGTAACTCCCTTTGCCTTTTTTCTCCCACATAACTAATTGACATCAAATATTCTGACTAAAAAAAAAAGTGGGGTTCATTACGCAAGTACATACAGTACTCACTTCGCAGAAAAATGTCACTGATCAAGCTTACCAAGCAGCAAACATTAGAATATGCAAATAGTTACTAGAACACATGTCATGGTGTAGTAGTGTCCTAGACGCAACTGCATGCTCTTTTCAAAGCTTGGCACAACACAACCTCATTGTAAGGTGCAAACACAGTTCATAAAATATGATTTACGTTGAGATGCACCGGAGAAGCAAAAGCGCATTTAGAACAGCACATACAGTCAAGCAACTCATGGCACACAGACTTCTCGCTCATCAGTGTCTACTTTGCCGCCTAGAGTAACTCAAGAACAAACTATCAGCATGTCTTTTCAGTACCCACAGTAAAAGGTTCGAAAAATAGGGTTTATCTAAAGACCAGCCGAAGTTTTTCACTTAATTTGTTTTCCCCTAAACATGGCACCACACTTGTAAAAACAGTGAACGAGCTGAACTTCGTAAACATCACGAGGAAATTTCCTGCAGTTGTAAACCATACCACAGTTGCTAAAACAATAGAGTTTCCTAAAATTAACTAGAGGGGACTCCAGCGCTGCGATCGTGGGAATGATGGGTAGTACACGAATTCGCCTAGTTTTCGTACTTGCGGGCGGCAAATCGCACTGGTGGTTTCGTTCATTGCTGTACTTCGGTTTTGTTTCGAAGAAAAGAACGAACCCTTTTGAACTCAGTGACGTGATTTGAAATGGTAAGCCTAAAATATCACGGTGGTGAATCTGCTGGTTGTTTTGTGACAAAGCAGTGTATATATAGGAAACTCTATGACTAAAACCACTGTGGTGCGGAGGAAGTTTCATTGGTGGCATACAGCCATTCAATTATAGCATAGAGCCCTCAGTTTGAGGGCTCATTATGATGACATGTGGATTTTAGCGGAGCAAGGGCCATTCTAGGCCTAAGAGCGCCATGAAAGATCGAGTTTCGAATTGAATGAGTTGGATCCGAAGGATTATGTGGTATGGGTGGCATACAACACCTTCTTGTAGCACGACGCCCACAATAATTCAAGGTGCTTGATCCAAAAGCTGTGCAGTGGTGTTCCTCAGAAAATACTCCTAAGTGAGCAAGTAGCTGAGCACTGCACCTCAATGCCTTCATGTAATGTAACTGTAACCAGCTGGGAGCACCTACAGTGTGGTCTATTTTAAAGGGCACTAGATATCAGATGTAAAGTGCTGAGCCTTCTTCAAGTCTTCATTCGGCGGTGGTGGTGTGTGCTTGCTTCAGGGGTGTTGTCAGTCAACCTCCAGCAAAATGTTGGAGCATGGAAGCTCTATCCAGTTTTTAACTCGGAATGAAACGAGATTTCTGCAAGCTACGCGTTCTTCATGTCTAAGCAAGAGTGCACAAGGGTTTGTAGCAAAGCAAGAACATCTCAAGAAAACTGCCATTTTGGAATTTTCAACATGCACTGAAATGCATGCTGTGGGACTTTGCCAGTTATAATATCAAGAATGAGGACACCCTCTGCAGGGGTCTGGCAGGCAGGATGCTCAAGCTGAAAGAACCTGATGAGCTTGTCTCCTTGAGAGAGAAGGCAAATGAAGAGCTTGAGATGTGAAGCCAGGCATTCCAGAAACCGTATGGAGAGCAGTCTTTGTAATGTTGAAAAGGCAATTTCCGCATGAATTCAGCTTTCCCATGCAGGAGCTGAGAACTGCACATTTTTGAAGATTGCTGGTGAGAAGGAGAGCTCTTGGCACTGGTCACCTGCCATACTGAATCAAGGGAATGTGTGTCCATCGTATGACAACTTACAGTGGAAAGGATGCAAGCTACGCATGCTAATTGAAACAGGGTCACCCATTACCATGACATGCTGCTGCAAAGTCAAGAAACTAACAGTGCTGATCTTTCACGGTGACTTCACTCGAGACTGTCATGTCACATAATCGCTGAAGCTTTCATCGTCCCAACTTAAAGGGGCTCTACTTAAGGCATGCAGCACTTTTAAATAGTAAAAAAAAACCTGCTGATTGTTAGTTGAGGCTCTTGAGAACACCCGAGCTAAACATTATTGTGCAGCACAGCGGCCTGGAATTTTCAATTAGTTCTCAAATTCAGCTAAGGATCGTTCCTAATGCTCTTTACAAATCATTTTTTAATTTATTTATGAATACTGCAATCCTACTAGGAATTTTCGCAGAGTGGGTTACATGAATTACATGAATGCTCAATATGAAGACGAACAAATTTTCAAAACGGGAAGATAAAAACACGCAGAAACAAAAGTACCCACAGAGCAACCCAAATATGCAAAAATTCGAACATTTATGAGGACAGAGCTTAATTGGCATGCTATATTAAACACTGTTATTGAGGCTAGAAGAAAACAATGATAAGGATGGTTGTAAAACTTCAGTGTTGGTTAGCTTGTTCCAGTCGTTTATAGTTCGTGGAAAGAATGAATATTTAAAGCAGTTGTTATGGGTTGCATAGGGTGTTATTGTGCGCTCATGCCATATACCGTACTTACTCGCGTAATGAACACCCTTCTTTTCTTAAAAAAAAAAAAAAAAAAAAAAAACTCGAAGTAAAGTTGAAGGGGTGTTTATTATTGGAGGCAAACTTTACCAAAACTTTTTCGGAATGAGCGAAAAATGTACCGTATATACTCGTGTAAGGGCCGCCCTCGTGTAAGGGCCGCACCCCAACTTTGAAAGCGGATATTTCGAAAAAAAAAAACAAAAGTTCAAAATGTCCCGCCAGAAAAGTGTAGTTAGTTCATTTACAGCCAGATGGCGCTGCACGCTTTTCCGCTTTTATTCTACTTCCGCCGACGCGCCGACCACGCTGTTGACAGCGCGCCGCCATATTTGCCTTGTGCGGCCTCTTTGTTGGCATCGTTCCTAGCATCGTGTCGATACGTTGGCAGCGCGACTTCAGATCGGTGTCGTCGGTGTCACTTTGTTGGTTGTAGTGAACCCTGCAGAAGCCAGCGCACGTGACGGACGATGGGCCGGCATCTGAGATCATTCACTGCAGCATTTAAGCTGCAAGTGATTGACTATGCCGAGGAGCACGGGAAGCGGGAAGCTGGACGAAAGTACGACGTCGATGAGAAGCGCGTGCGTTACTGGATGAATCAGAAAGATGCCCTCGCCGCTACTAACAGGAGCCGAAAGGCGTTTCGCGGGAAAAAGTGCAAGTACCCGCAACTCGAAAGCGAGCTCGTCAACTACGTCGTCGACACACGAAGGGACGGCTACGCCGTATCGACTGACATGATACGCGTCAAAGCCCTCAGCATCGCTCGCCACATGGAAATACCCCCGGCACAATTCAAGGCAAGTCGGGGCTGGGCTACGCGGTTTATGAACCGTAACCAGCTTTCTATTCGGCGCCGAACGACGATTTGCCAAAAACTGCCGCGCGAGTACGAAGACCACGTCATTAAGTTTCATCGCTTCGTGAATGCTCTCAGGAGGGAGCATGAATACGACCTGTCCCAAATTGGGAATGCGGACCAGACACCTGTGTGGTTCGATGCACCGGAAAGCACCACAGTGGATTTAAAAGGTGCGAAAAGTGTGTCTGTGCGCACGACTGGTGCAGAACGCCAAAGGTGCACTGTGATGTTGTGCATCACGGCAGACGGCAGGAGGCTTCCGCCGTACGTCGTATTTAAAAGGAAGACTCTCCCAAAAGAGAAGTTCCCTCAGGGAATCGTCGTACGTGCGCAAGAGAAGGGCTGGATGTCCGAGGAACTGGTCGTTGACTGGATTAAGACCGTCTGGGCAAACAGACCTGGAGGGCTGTTACAACGGAAAGCCCTCCTTGTTTTGGACAGCTTTAGGGGCCACTTGACCGACCGCGTCAAGAACCGAGTTGCCGCAACTCGTACGGACTTGGCCGTCATTCCCGGTGGCCTGACGAGTGTGCTGCAGCCGCTCGACGTATGCGTCAACAGACCATTCAAAGTGGAATTTCGCCGATGTTACTCTGAATGGATGGCTGGAGGCGTCCACGAGAAGACCCCTACAGGACGGCTGAAGCGGGCGTCGCTCCAACAGGTGTGTGAATGGATTTTGAATGCGTGGCGTGCCATGTCAGTAGAAGTAGTTGCTAAAAGCTTCAAGGTAACGGGAATTTCGAACTCCATGAACGGCACCGAAGATGACCGTCTCTGGGAAGACGCGGACGCCGAGGCGAGCTCCTCCGAGAACGAGGACAGCGAAATGGAATCCGAATAAAAACATTTCTGGCATGTCATTTGTGACTCTTGCACTCTGCTACTGTTGCATAAACAGTACAGACCTTTGGCCTGTACTGCCTGTACTAAATCGGCCTGATTCGTGTAAGGGCCGCACCTAGCAAAATTTTCGAAAAAAAAGTGCGGCCCTTACACGAGTATATACGGTAATGAAGCAAAAAAAAAGTTGTCGCTTAGCCTTTTGCTATTGACACACACGTACACTGTTTGGGAATAGCTTCTTTGTTGCACTTCACTCATCTTCGCTGGATGGGAAGGCACCATTTTCTGCAAGCTGTCCCCGCACTTCCTGCGCACGCCATATGAGCGTTTTGCACCTATCTTTTCTCGCAATCGCTAAACTCCAACAGTGGTATCTGCCTTGATTTCGAGGGGCGCCCTGAAGCCTGCGTTACGACGCACTTTGCCCACTTCGCGGCATACACGCCCGACGATTGCGCCGTCATCGTTGATATTTCACCAAGCTACCACCGAAGCATCCAAAACAAATCGTTTGTAACAAGATTAAGGACAAAATACGGCTGCAGTCTCGCTCTTCACATGAGAAGTTACTGTAAAAAAAGGTAGCCTATATCTTGTGTTCTTTTGAAGTACGCTCTGATAAAACTACGAAGGGTAAATTACAACAAAAGTGAGAACCAGGATTGTTACCATGTTGCAGAAATAGTCACGAGCTTCGCTAGGCGACAAGCTATTTCTTTCTGGTTTTCCGAAAACCTGCGACGCGATGGTGATGAACAGCCCTTTGCAACAGCCATAACCACAGCAAATCCTGTCGTTGTTGCTCGAAAATTGAGTGCATGTGGTTGGGCCTTAAAGTTTCGTTTTGCAGGAAGCAACCGTCGGTTGGCTCTGACAGTTCCGTGGCCTTCGCTCGCTGGGTGCTTGTCAGCAACGATCTCTCTATACTTGCACTGTTCGTGGACCCCGCTGTTTCGCATAGATGATTGAAAAGAACTGGGAACGTGCCGCGCACATATAGAGAAAAAAACAATATGGCACGGGGCAGCAAGTGAAGGGGAGAGGGAGCGAGCTGTGGCGGCCAAGAGAGGTCGAAATAATAAAACATCGGAAAAGATCCAACAGGCAAGAAGGCGTGTCGGTTAGCGTGAATGCAGTAGACGAATGTAGGGGGTGCGTTTATTACGCGTGGTGAAAAAAAAAATCCCAACTTTAACGGCTGAAGTTGGGGGTGCGTTTATTATGCGTGTCGGTTAGCGGGAATGCAGTAAACAAATGTAGGGGCTGCGTTTATTATGCGCGGTGAAAAAAAAAAAGAATTTTAAGGACTGAAGTTGGGGGTGCATTTATTATGCGAGTGCGTTCATTACATGAGCAAATAGGGTAATCAAACGACTACACCATGCAATCCAATTTCTGGCTGCTGGCTGACTAGAGTATTGTGGGTGGCGTAGTTACTGAGAGGTTGCTATGCGCCCGTGCACATGCTCACAATCAACGTTATTCGCAAATTCAAAGAAAAAAATATAGTGCTCGGATTCATAACACGCGTGTGATATAACATCTCTTTCTAGTTCCGCCTCTTCCTGCTTGGCTTCCAGTGCATTCGCCAGAGCAAGAGAAAGCAATTATAGTGTGACGCTTTACCTGATTGATTGATTTGTGGGGTTTAACGTCCCAAAACCACCATTTGATTATGAGAGACGCCGTAGTGGAGGGCTCCGGAAATTTTGACCACCTGGGGTTCTTTAACGTGCACCCAAATCTGAGTACACGGGCCTACAACATTTCCGCCTCCATCGGAAATGCAGCCGCCGCAGCCGGGAATCGAACCCGCGACCTGCGGGTCAGCAGCCGAGTACCTTAGCCACTAGACCACCGCGGCGGGGCATGACGCTTTACCTATTCTAAATAATGTTTCATGGGAACTTCGAAAAGTGTTGCACGGCTTGTTTAATAAATGATGCAACATCATTTCAAGCTATTGCCCGAGATAGCCACGCCTGTTTCACTACTGCTGGGTTTTTGGAAAGTGGAGAAGAGCTAGTAGCCATGAGCAGGCCAGCCATGCCAACTCGCATGCATGCATGCGACTGTGGTTTGCATGTACATAGTCCACATCAAGAATTCCAGAAACCGCTCGAATAATTCCACATAGAATTTCTTTGACATGACGAAGAGCATTTGGAGTGTTTGAAATTTGTATCATCGTGTAACCGGGACCAACCATAATTTCCACAGAATTCTACTGTAATCAACAAGCCTTGCATAAATCTGCATACACTCACACAAGAGAATGCACTTCCTTGTTGCGATGTTAACGACACATGGCCCCGTCATAGCCACAATCGTACAAAATAGCCAGAGTACAAAACATTTGTTTGTGGACATATGTACTATCAGCGTCAAATAAAACCCAAACAGCAGCAAGCCTTCGAGATGGCACAGTGCGTGCCGTCCAATTCTCCCGATTGAAAGGTATACAGTAGACTATACAGGTATACAGTAGACGCATATACAGTAGGGAAAGGTATACAGTAGACGCATATACAGTAGACTCTCAGTGAACGGAAATATGTTAAACGAAACTATTGCCTGTGCAGTGCTTGGTGTCGGGCTTGTATTCGGCACCCAATGTTCACCTCTCAGTAAACGGTACTCCTGTTAAGTAGAACACAATTTCCCGGTCCCTTCAGAATCCGTTTAGTCAAAATTTGATAAACGACACTCGGGCGTAAATGGACGGAACAACTACCTCGGGAACGATTGGTTTCATTCCTGCATACTGAAGCCCAGTACACCTCTCAGTAAATAGAACTCCTGTTCCACAGAATACATTTTCCCAGTCCCTTTGGGTTTCGTTTGATGACAATCCGCTGTATGCAAGCCTGTCCACGGTGACAAGTGGACAGCGCGCACTATACAATCACGAAGGCTTGCGGCTGTTCGGGTTTCCCTTGTCGCAGATGGTACACTACAACCACCTAAGTCGTCACCTTACCCCTCCACTGTCATCACTGCTGAGGGCTTCGTTTCACAGAACAAATAGTCGAGGATAGCTGTTCTCCTTGTTGTCCATGAGCGTAGGCGCGCCTACGACCTCAAGGCTTCCCGACACAATGTCGGAAGACCGGGGCGATTTCTTCGGATGCCTCTGTTTTCTTCGTTTTTTGTGCTGTGAAGTTGGGGACGAAACGAGCTTTTCATCAAGTGTAAACAAGAACATACTTAGGACATTAACACAAAGCGACTCCTGCCAGAAGCAGAAGTTTTCCAGGAACTGCAGGATTGCTGCTCCACTGTTTGTTTTTTTAAATAATGCTCTCCTACTCACCTCGTCGCTTGCATCTCCTTTCTTGACTGCTGCTGGCAGGTGCTGGATCGGCTTGTCTGACAAAGGCACGCCGTCATACTCGAGAAGTTCTTGAGGTCCTTCGGTCTTAATCTACAGATGCCAAACATTGGGCACAGATCGTTTAATTGAATCATACCCAAGGCAAACGATAGATTGATATGAAATGTCAGGGCAAATACAGTAATGGAAGTGACATTTTATTTTTAGGAGCAGATTCTGCAGCAGATGACAAAATATTTCTAATGACCCCTGGTGTAGAAAGCATAATTTAAGCATGCCATAATTATTATTACTTACTAACAAACATTATTGCATAGACAATAATTGTAGCTAATAGCAAGAAGTAAATGGTTAGCTAGATGGATGGTTACTGAGCACTACCTAAGGTAAGCTACATATATTTAAAATGCTAGTACAGTCGCCGACCGATTTTTCGGACCTGGCGGGGACCGAAAAAAAGTACGAAAAATCGAACAGTCCGAAAAATTCGTTTTCGCCAAAAATCTGAAGTTTATTGCATCAGGCAGGTTTAAAAAAGTCCTTGATGCTGCCTTGCCTCAAACTACGCTTGGAGGCAATTTGGTTTGCCCGTATTTGCGCCAAGGTGACATCGTCGCCATAAACGCTCGACAAAATTGTCACCGCGTTGGCGATCTCCGCCGCCGACGGCTGCGGGCGGTCGTCGTTGTCGTCATCCGAGCCGCTCTCCGGCTCCGGGACAACCTGGCGAAGAATTTCGTCGTCAGTGGCCTCCGCGCACGAAACAATGTCGTCGTCCGCACGAGTGAAGTCTTTAAATGTCATTGTGGCAGGTAGAGAATCCTTCTTTCGCCTCCTCCCCGTGTGATGCGATGACGATAGTGCTGACCGAAGACGAAAAAACAGCATCCATCACCGCGTCTTTTAAAAAGCAAACACGGCCTCCGAAACTTAAAATATGGCGTGCGCATTCCAATCTCGGAGGCAGGAAAAGCATCTGAAGACCAAGCTTAGCCAAGCCGACAGAAAATCCAACATGGCGGCGTTCACAATGGCTTGGGGCGTGGCACAAAACGAGCGATTTAGTCCGAAACATCGAACTTTCAGGGGCAAATTCGCCCGAAAAATCGGTCGAAACAATGCATTAGCTCTATGGGATCCCTGACGGTGCATTTATGAAGTCCGGAATATCCAACAAGTCCGAATTTTTGGAGTCCGGAAAATCGGTCGGCGACTGTACTAGTGGCACAAAAGCAATTCGAGCAACAAATTATAAAACTAGGCACAATCGCATAGAATTATCCCCGAACCGGAAGCTTGAAATATGTATGAGATTAAAGAAATGTGCAATTCTCACACGTTCAAAAAATAGCCAGCATAAAAAATAAAATAAAAATCCATTTAAGGGGGGACATGGGTCTTTGAAATTTTTTTTCTGTTTTTGGCTCAATCTTGACCAAACCTCACCATCTTGGACAGTTTTTCATGCTGATTTCAAATATGTAATTGTTTCTGAAATAGCTTCAGTGGATAAAAGATATTAACATCTGTAATTTAATTAATTATGCACTTCATTGGGGGCTTTTTGGCAACTTAAGCCAGATCCAAAAAATAAATGCATAGCCCCAATGCTGAGGGCTTTCTGTATGGGGTGATGCTATTTTTATTAATTTTTAGGCATTATATAGATAAGAAAACAGACCAGCACTTACAATGGATATTCTGTTCAATTTTCGCTCATTACTATACATGATTGTAATTAACAGTATGCTTCTAGAGTAATCAAAATAGCATCACCCCATAGGTAATGTTATTACAAATAAAATGATACCAAGTTTGTCATTCTCAATCAACAGTAACATATAAGAAAAACCCCTAAGGTTTAGTGTGGTGCACAAAAACATCGAACTGAGAAAAACGCATTTAAAGTTTTTAATAACTGTAACTTTTGCTAAAGTGAAGCTAGAGCAATAAAAAATGGCACCGTTGTATAGCTCTACATTATGTGAGTATGGCTGTACCAAATGTGTCAATGCACCTTCCCAAAAATATTTGCCACAGCTCATTTAAAAACTGTGTACTGGCCGTTGAATCTGTATAAGGAACCCAGTCTACAACTTTGTGGCTGTTCTAGTGCACTGAAAACCAAAGGAAGACACATGTTATATATAAAAACATCGCCCTTTTATACATAAAACACTATTTCAAGTAAAACACACATTTTTGTCCCAGGCATCCTTACAATTCTACAGCATGCCAGGGCTGTATGCAGTGTCTCTTGCCGGCTTATGCCGCTTTGCAAGTGTTGCCTTTGTTGAACTGCTCTGCAGGTGCTCCCTCCGCGATTTGTGAAGCCTGGTTTTATCCTTTTCAAGGCTACGACGCATGAAGAGATTTCCTGCACTGTAGCCTAGCTTCTCAGCAATTGCTTCGTTGCTCTTCGTGGCCCCCTGATTAAAGCGGCTGATGGCTTCAGCCACTGCTCTTTCTACGCTGCGCAGTGAGGCATGGGTGGTCTTGGGGACTTGTTGCCAAATTGTAGCGTGTAAGCTCTCACTAGGATTCTGGGTGATCCCATCACTGCACCTTTCCAACAATGCTTTGTCGCTAAGCCTCAAACACAGGCTCTAGTGCCTCACAGACTAAATCGGGCAGGCTGTTCTTGTGCGGTGGAGGCACCTCACTATTGGCTATGGCCCTGTTGAACTTGCACCATGAATCTGTTCCCTCAGGGCAGAGGTCATGTTTGGGTGCCTCGTCTGTTGATGACATGTGCCTTAGTGTGGCCAGCACAGCCTTTTTCATGCCTGGCACATCACTCTTGTGGCTCCTCAAGGCATAGCCATAGTAAGAGGTAATTTTCTTTATTTTGTCTTGAGTGAGCCTACCTTTTCCGCCAAGTGACCCACCTTGAGCTTTTTTTCTTTTCGATGAGCGTTCGTAAGGCAGCCCCCATTCGTTTGTGCACATGGTTGATGCAGTCTTTTTTTTTCAACTTTTATGTATCCGTAAACTTCATCTTCAGTGAGGGCATGAAAGGTTCGGCTATCACCATCTGAAAGCATTGTTGTGTACCGAAGCTTATGCTTTTCTAAGGAGCGTCGGAAGAGGCGTAGGGCTGCTTCTACTTCTATCTGGTCAGCCTTGCAGTCAACATTTTTCTGGCACACAGGGGCGTGCTGGACGAGCCAAGCAGCGTGTCCCTCCTCATCTTCCTTTGGTCCAGTGGCGCAGCCCAGGCAAAAGTTTGAAAGTACAACGTGATCAATAACTAAACCAGTGTACATTTCAATTATACAACCAGCTGTGTCCACGGGTAAGCCACGCGCCATCATAAATGACGTCGACGTTGTCCGGTGGATTGCCATACTCCGCATAGAGTTCTTTGACGCGGGCAACGCTAGTGGATTCGCATTCGGCAGCAGTCGCACCGCAGGCTTCCCGCACGATTTTCATGTGGCTTTGATATGTTTTCTGGTGAAGCCCTCGATGCGAAATATTCATCGCGGCAAAAAAGTCCGTCAGAGCTGTTGCCCCTTTGCCGATAGTATTCATCGCTTTCATGGCACGCAAATTCACTTCAAAAGGCCTTACTTTGGCCTGGCTATTTTCGGCAACTCTCGGTGAAGAAAACCTTTCTTTGCGAAAGTCGCAACTGCTGCATGCGAGCACGAGTTTTGAGCACAGCCCATAGTCTCTTTTTCCCTTGGAGAAAGTCATACTTTTTGAGCCGCACTCGGGGCAGGGGAGGAGTCCAAATAGCGAGTCGATCGCTTCTATATCAACAATGGCAAATTGCGTGCCGTTTTCTTTGTCGTCGCCCTCCAGCTGAACGTCCAGCAGCTCAAACTTTCGTGCTGTCGCGCACTGCGATGCCAGGGACTCTTTTAAATTCGCCACACGTATGGAGCACTCGGCGAACTCGTCCGCAGAGTAAAACGTCGTGTCGACAAGACCTTGAATGGTTCCAGTAGTTCCAGTTGCGCCAGCGAGTCGTCGTCTGAATGTGCTGCCTCCGCAATAACAGGCATTTCCGACAGCCCGTTGTCGTCAGAATGCGCTGCCTCGGCCATCTCCGGCGTTCTCGGCGGCGCGCAGGCCGCTCCCTTCTGCCGCGCATTCCACGCTCGCTTTCGTTTCCTGCCGAAAGCTTGACGAGTGTTCTTCTTCAGGCGAGCTTCCCAAGCCATGCCGGCGAAATGCAGAAAGACGTATACGTCGGCGACGTCGGTACACGAGCGGGTAGCAGACGAGATAACACGCACGAGAGCAGGTGCCGACATAGCAAAACCAAACAAACAAAAAAAAGAGAGCGAGCAACCGTGGCCGCGCCGCCGCGCCAGCCAATGGTAAGCGCGAGACGGGGGGGCTCAACGGCGCGCGCTCTAGCCAATCAGCGGTCCGGCAGACGGCTTCGCAAAACGGGGGAGGGCAGTCGTTGTGTTGGAGCTACGCCATTTTGAGAGCCCGCAAAACGCGCACAAAGGAACCAGCTTCAAAACAAGCCCAAGATGGCGCCGATCCACCGGCTGCTTTGCTGGCGGCGCGCGTGGGAAGTTCGAACAAATTTTCTATTTTGCGACTCCCGTGATGGTTTGAAAATAGATTTTAACCTATTTTTTTATCTAATTTAGCGTTAATAATTTGAGGAGAGGTGCTTATAGGTTCAAAGACTCGAAAAATGTGTTTTTCTCAAGATCGATTTTTTGGCGATTTTTCACTTTTCTAAGACCCGCGTTCCCCCTTAAATAAAATGCCAGCTCTTGTAGCATAAATGAGGTCGATGCTGATCTAATGATAAATGTAATCAGTCGCACATCAAAGTCGTCACAGCTAGAGTTAGTGACCACTATAAGAATGAACTATCATCACACACAATTCATCAAAATAATTTGTTTGGCAGATTCAAATGTACACCTGAATAAGACACACACAGTGCCAGAACTTCTGGCATTGCCAATGCGCTAGTGTGCAGCTATTGTGCAGTTAGTAAGCAAGCTGCATACTAGCAGACTAGGATGATAAGTATATGCAGCTTGTTATAGGGGCGAAGCTCCTCAGGGTGTGGGTTGCTCCCTCCTCTGTAGCAGTAGCAGTAGCAGTAGTAGTAG